TGTTCAGTAGTTTATTCCAGTTATCAGCAAGGCTGGTAACGTTTCTGAAAGATAAATATCTTTCATTCGATAAGCACAGTTAGGGTGAGGTTAAATGGCTATGCAGAACAGGGTTAAAAGAGTAAGCTCATACGCCAAAGAAATCAGCATGTACTGATAGGAGACTAAACTAATTTCAATTAGGTTCATATCAGTCAACTTCCAATAAAGGTTGTGTGCGACTTTATCATCCCAATACCCGATCTGTCTAAGTAGTTTTCGCGCTTAGACATAGGATCTTTAAACAAGGTGTTTCCACAAAAATGTACTAAATTGCATGAACAATCTCAGGCCTTTTCATGTAAATCCGGCTAAAGAAACCTATTAGATGACAAGAAAGGAGTTAAAAGATTGTCATCTGTGTCTCTCTTCATTGCTATCGGGCCAAATGAACGGACTATCACTGAAGACGACAGCTGAACAAACATGAATTGGCAATTTAGTTCAGCCGTGGTTGGCACAGTGGTAACGCACACGCCTTCCATGCGATGGGTTCGGAGTTCAAATCCTGGACGGGACGGTGGATATGCACTACTGATGAGCCATAGTAAGAGCGAAACTCGAGTCTAGTGCGTCCGAGTGTATGGTTGAATTGATCAATTGAGGATAGTGCGTGAAGGTGAAGTAAATGTGAGTTAAATGCGAAGAAAGATAAAAGCGCTTCCTTTTGAATACGTCTTGGGAAGTGCATGGAAATGAATGAATGCAAATAAGGAGAACGAAATGTTATGAAGAACTATCGGAGTGGACCATTTTACATCCGGATAATAGGTTCGTGATTTCTACAAGACATTTACGATGAAACAAAAAATTGGTGTTCTTTACTGGCGGTTTCCCCTCATATTTCCTATTTTGTACTCAAGGCCTCCTCGTTTAATATTTATTGTTTTTGCGTCCGCGTCACGTTTGTTCCCAAGACGGCGATATATATATATATATATACGCAATTTCTCAGATTCCAAAAGAACACTTCGTAGCTGACTTAACACGATCAAAGCTTGACCTTCGACTAACCGAATCTCATTTTAATCCAGACTTATCTGAGCAATGAGCCTCTGTTATATCGCATTAATAAGGCAGAAGAATCGCGATTTACATTGGAACACCATAACAGACGACTTGAAGTTTGAGAAATAAAAGATTGGTATCTTTAATCCGACGCATACCTCTACTATCTAAGGTATCTTTACCCGAATAGAGTGAAACATGGATGAACAGAGAAGCAACCCAGTCATCTTACTACAAAATGGCAATGCTTAAGAAAATCTCCGTATTCAGCGATCTTGTAATGCCAGTCACACCAGTGGTTAATAACTGATCAGTGCAAGATTTTTATCATCGTTACTCATCCAGCAACATTCATTCGTTCAGTCGGAAGCGATCTATTGTGAATGCAGCTGTGACCAGCACGCTCGCCGAACCTGAACCCCAATGAGCGCCTGCGAGATTATTTGGGATAAAAGATTAACTCGCCTTGGCAGGTTAAGAAGTGCGCTATACAATGCACGAACCACGATGCTTATTGCGTTCATAAATAGACTAATTGAAAGAAGTGATTGCAACAAAGGTTGGCATTAGTAACCGTAACAAATATACTAGTTGTTTCTGTCTTGGTAAACATGTATTCGCTTGCAGATTTACTTTTTTACGTTTATTTTGGTATCAACCAGTTATTTTAAGTTTTTATCACGTCATAAGCCTGGAGATTGCTGATGCGGCATAGCGCACTTTAGGAGGGAGAGGTGGTTTTTATTGTTCACAGATGAATGCTAAATAAATCTAACACCACGGGGGGAATTGGCTCTTTGATTCAACCCTAATTAACTGCACACAGTAAAGATACTCCCGGTAGTTAATAACAGAATAACAACCGTTGTTCGCGAGGTTGTTGTCACATAAAAAACATTTCAATGAACGATCGATTTAATGAATTCAAGGGACAACCCGTTATCTGGACTGGATTTTCAAGAGAAAGGGTTTTATCAACCAGTAATCCTGCTTACCTCGGACCATACATCATGGCCAAAGTCATCAGATATCCATTGGACAATCCTAGAAGAATGACCACAAGAATTGGGAAAGCGTCATGATGGAAGACCACTGGCAGCCGAGTGCGGGGTTGTTGATTCAGGAATAAACTAAATGGAATGATCAATGATCGGAGGAAGCAAATGGCCATCAGCAGCCAATATTGACTCCGTCGAGGCTTTTTTGTGCGTGTATATGAGTTTAAAATGGGGAGAGCATAAGAGAAACACGCTGATTAGTATGCGGTAGCTGTACGGCGACGTATCAAAAACACCATATGATAAACAAAATATCCGTATGCGTATCATGATGAATTTAAGCTCGCATGGAATATATAAGAACGGATCAAATGAAAGTGTATAGAATTCGTTCTCTCGTCAGGATCGGAAAACTGAAACTTTCTTAAAGGTTGGGTCCGTAGCCTATAATTAATGAAAATTTAATTCTTCAAGCACTGGACCAGCATCAGGAATTGGAATCCAATTTTGCCTCCGATTATATATATATATATACGTAAACAATAGACGATATGGGTGATCACGGTTCTGCATTATTTGATACACCAAAATCAAGTCCCCTCGAATTCGGCTGTACTGTGTGAAGTACAACTTCAATGATTCCAGTCCTACCATATAAGTCTAGGAATGCAGTCCCTTGGTAATCTTGGTGGTCATCCTTTGGGGACGTTCCACAATCTTGCAATCGCATTGTATTCATGAATTCCACGCGTGAATAGCATACTCTATGTGGGGTTGAATGTAGGCTAACAACAAACGTGAGAACAGCATAGCTCGAAATTTGCCAAATACTCACCTTCGCAAACCAACATATCTTGCAGTGGTGGAAGACGCCCTGGAGAATTTTAAAGAACTTAGGTCGTCTTGAACAATGACACCAAGATCCTTCTCATTTGAGGGAAACGAAAATTGTCGATATCCCGGGAAGTATGGAAACCGAGTTTTGTGATGAAGGGATGCGGCCGTATATTTTGATGCATTGAATTTGATGTCGCTTTTGATCCACCATTGATATGCAGCATTAAGTTTTCTCTGAAGTGCCAGTGAGTCCTCAGGTTTTGCCACTGCTTTCCATACTTTTTGCATCGTCTGCAAACATTAACGCTTGTGTTTCCAGCATGTCCGTTAGATCGTTTATGAAAACTAGAAAAGAGTTTGACGGCCAAGGACAGATCCCTGTGGAACTCCTCGGGCTACGCAGATAGAATCGGATAGTGCCCCAGAACCTCGAACTGCTATCGTGCGTTGTCGAAGAAATTCTTCTATCGAACCCAGTACAAGTCTCCAATTTTCATAACTGTGTAGTTTCCTCAGCAGTATCTTTTGGTTCACTTGGTCAAAAGCTTTGGAGAAGCCGAGGTACACTATGTCCACTGCATTACCGTGATCAGCTGCTTTTGTTCACTCTTCTCCGACCAGAAGCAGGTCAGTGGTACACGATCGCTTGCGACGAAACCCATGTTACACCGGGAATAAAACGTCATATTTTTCCAAGTGACTCATATTGTTTACAACTATGGATTCCATAACTTTGGATAATATAGGAGAGTAACTGGGCGGTAGTTAGTTGGGTCACTACGACGGTCCTTTTTGTATATTAATGAAATTATTCTTTGTTTCTATGCTTGTGGGAGCACAGTTTTGTCGAATATTTGCTGAATTAGTTCATTTAATGGCTGAGCTATGTTTCTTGCCAGGTTGATAAGGGTTTGTGGATGGGTGTTATCCATCCCCGGAGATGAATTCATTTTCAAACCTTGCAGTTTCGATGCGATGATTTCTGGGGAAACATCAATTATGGTTAGCGTTAGATGTGGTATGTCCTCGAGTAACATAGGCAGTATGGTGTTGGCAACTGCAGTGAACACTTGAACGTACTGACCTTTGAATATTTCAGCTGCCTCCTTTGTTGTGACTCAGACACGTACTGCCAAAGTTAGCGATGGAACGCCAGATTTGACTTTTCTGAAGGTGTTTACGTGTTTGTACAAGCTTGGGATTGGATATAAACTTGCGCATCAACTTGTCTTCTCGCGCCAACTTGGTGCAGTTGTTTCGGAGTAGACAGTAGGTATACCCTGTGTTCCATGTGTTACAAGGAAATCGTTTATAAGCTCTCCATGAGATAGATCTCTGCGAAATCCAATTATCTGTTCTACTTTGAATCACTGATTTTTGTCAGTTGAGTATGTAATGTGTTTGGTTTTGGTCACGTCCTTCACTATTTCCGTGAAAAGAATCGTAAATTCTTGCCAGGATACCAAGGGATCACACTGTTCGTTGGGAAAATTCAATTAGAAGTCTCTCACCAAAATCTTAAGTCTGGTGTAGTCAACATGTATACAAGAGGTAACCGCAGAAATTGGCGGTACGGATGCATAGCAAAAGTAGCCAAAAATCAACACAGCATGACCCCTGCGCCCTAGTGGAGTTGTAGCAGAAATCGTTTCCACCATCAATTCCTCGTTAGATAACACCAAGTCCAAAACCGACGACAACTGTTTGACTTATTCACAAAATTGTGAAGTGGATAGGATTCAATTAACTGCGCGCTTTTCCTTTCAAACGGTTCTAGAGAAGTCATTGACTTAACCAGGTTTTGGCTGTTGAAGTCCCCCTAATGAGGACATGCGTGTGCTTCAGTGACAGAATGTGATACATGGTTTGCAACAGTCTCTCACTGGCTGAACCTGTGAATGAAGGAGAGCGGTAGACCACACCTATCAAGCTGATATCGCGTTACGGCAATCGCACTTGGGAGTAGCTACCTAATAAAAAGCGCACACCTGCGCGTTCTTCGACTGTAAATGCAGCGTGAGCAACCCGAACCAAATAGGGTGAGCTCAGAACTGCCCCCCCCACTCAATCTTCAAGTTTTCAAAAATCCCAGGAGTTAATAGTGCTCAACGCACTCGATCAATTTTCACAAATTTCGTTCACTAAATACAATGGATTCGAAAGGAACGTTTTTTGAAACAACAACAACAACGCGGTTGCCATAGTTGATTTGCCGCGCCCGTGCGAAGTTGGGCAGGGGTCAAGGCTGATCCTTTTGGTGCTCTAATATGAAACCTATCTATTAACGGCGATCGCAGTTATTGGAAGCTTGCGGACAACTTCGTTCTTCTGAACGAATAAAACTACCTCGCGCATCTCTCTCACATTTACATTTCAGAATGATGAAATGTCAATCCTCACACGAACGTGCACGATCGCGTACACAGAACTGTCTGACAGAGCGTCTTGCGCTTGTAATGTACCATAGTGTGTAAGACATGAATGCGATGCACGCAGTCTCTGTATCACAGGCACACGCACACGCACAAACACCGATTCGCGTTCCAGACACTGCCTGCCCAAAATATCCGCCAACTAACATCAAATATAACAATACGGACACAAATTGTTCAAAGTCGCAAGGGACAAATAACGCAAGATTAAGGAACGGACACGTGCAGGACTGAATTGGGATGCATAAAATGAATCATGCTGTGTATTTTGGAAGTAAAACTGCATACCCATTTCACGAGGCCCGCAAGACTCCGACCGATCCAGTCGCACACATTGTATGATAGAAACACTGTAACCGGAGTGAAAAAAGTGGCTGAAACAGGAAAAATAGTAAATACAAGCAGTGAGAGTGTGCGTGAAGCATTTAAGCAAGCGATTGATGTGAATCTAAAAATCAGTATTCACACAAATATGATTGTAATGATCTGTGATTAACCAGTCAGATTGCTTGAAAGCAGTTATCATACATGGTACTTGCTTTTTGTCAATGCATTGAAGTCCACTTTCATTAGAGGCAAAACGCCAAAGAAAACTATGACACGTTTTCGAGATATACACTTTAAATCGTTAATTCTTTTATAAAATGAGTCTAAGGTGGATTTATCCTAAAGATATTCTCAATGAATGTCAACATCCGACAGAATTCCGCGCTTATCTTCTCACTTTACCACCTACATCGTCAAATATTAGTTTCCAAGCCTAGATGTGTTCTTGACAAAGTTCACTTCTACCCAGGATTCATGAAACGTATTACGTTGGTTTTGAATAATAATGATAATGTTAAAGCAGTTATAATGATGAGCATGCTAGTACTTATTCGATTCCGCTATTTTCGAACTTTTGCGTAAAATAAGATTACTTTAGCCCTCCTTTAGACCTTTGACCGAACTTGAAGTTTTTCTCACCTGCCATTTTAACGGAATCGACAGCAATAGGTGGATTCAAACTTTTATCACACATTATGAACTCTGTGTTCTCCAAAGTAGATGCAGAAGTTGATCTCTTTGCATGGAGAATACGGGCGGTCTCAAAGTAATGGATTAACTAAGGATTCTACGATCCATATGACAGAGTCTCCGACTGTCCAGAGTAACCTTAGAACAATAAAATTAAATGTATTCCTGTGTTCAGTACCTTCTTTGGGACGGCATGGAGTTCTCATCAAGGAAGTCTTTGAACTGACTCCATTTCATTATTTACGGTGAGAAAACGATCAGCTAAAAAATGGATTCTATACCGCAAATTGAAACACGAAGAGGCTGCTAATACCAAACGAATACAACCACTGGAGCCATAAAAGAGTTTGACTTCTACAGGACTTTCCTTCAAACCACGCTGTACACAATGGTCACTCGGGTTTTTCATTAATGCGATTCATGTTGTCACTCTCCAGCGGTGGTCGAAGAGCTTTAATGACTGTCGTTGTAAGTCATTTTTGACACAGCACATTGTGATTAACAGAAGGTGTGAACTACTGTCTGATTATGGAAACCGGTGACCTAAACCAAGGGACTAAAATTATGGGATCCCAGTGGTTGGACCTGGTACTGAGCTGGATTTTGTCTGGCGCCGGTGGGAACTCGATACACGTGTTCGCGGAGTCAGTTAAATCACCGTGACAACCTGGTTATTTCAGTAAGCTAATTAGATGTTTAGACAATATTCCAAACTGCTCCAAAATGTTAACAAATAATTGAGTAATTGTTGTTTGAGAAGAACAAATAGCTGAATTACTATTATCGTCCAAATCGAAATAACTTCACAGGCAGCTTTGTCATTTAACAAACAAAGTAAAGGTTTAA